CTGCACCGTAGACCGGGCATTGCAGTCATTGCAAAGGATCTACCCACACAGAAAAGAAAGAGAGAGAGGCTTTAGCATCAGCAGGACACTCAACAATATACTACAACCGTGCTTCTAGCAACCACAGAACTGGTTTGCCATCAGGGGACAAAGCAGAAAATACCTTCCTTTTGAAGACAGCAGGGCTGATTTAATGTTTCCATTTGTAACTACTCAGATCACACTCTGTAATCGCAGAGAATTTACGTTTAGTATGGCAAGGTGAATCCTTGCGTAAGTCAGGGACAGACATGCTTTGGCTTTTTCTCTTGATGCAGGAAATGAGCAGGGAAACCCTCAAGTGAAAATGAGGGCAGACTAACAGCAGCTAGCAACATTAGCCAGTCTGCTGTGCAAGACAGGCAAGTGAGCGTTCTTCTCAAAACAGGCAGTAAAGAGATTTTTTCCAAATATCCTGACTCCCAAGAGTTGGTAGGATGGGCTGTCTAAACCATAACAGATGGAACTACAACATCAACGACCGGTGCTGTTTAATTTAGTGTCACCTGCAAACAGCAACCAGTTTCACAGTTCCAAGTTAACACAAAGAAACAGAAAGAAAACAGAAGACGTCTCTATGTGCTAGCCTCGCACAAATCAACAGCTGAATATTTCTGCAGAAAACCTACCGTGTTTAGTCTGGAACATGAAGCTCCAAGCTGTTAAAACACAACTGTTTCTGCTTTTCGCTATGACGGCGCTTAACACTACTGGAGAAAGCAAGATGCTCCCAGAGACCGAGCCATTTCTCCGCTGTGTGATACTACAGCACTAAGAGGTTGTGGTTTTGGGGTTGGTTTCTTTTTTTTTTTTTGGAGTGTGGGTGGGGTGTGGGTGTGCTTTTTTTTTTTGTGTTTATCAACCCAGTAGTGGTTTTGGGTTGGTTTCTTTTTTTTTTTTTGGAGTGTGGGTGGGGTGTGGGTGTGCTTTTTTTTTTTGTGTTTATCAACCCAGTAGATGAATGCTGTAAGCCTACACACGACATTTCTTCATCATTCCCTAACCATCAGGTTGACTTCTGATCCAGGACAAGTCCCTAGTGCCCTCTACTGCCAGCAATGCAAAGGCACAGATCTGCCAAGAACACAGACATCGGTGCAAGTCTCATCTCTTACCTCCACCATCATGTTCTGATACTCTGTGGGCATAGGAGTCTGCGCTACTTCGTCATCCAGCTGACGCCAGTACCTTGTCATATCTAAAGCCGAGTGCATGCACAAAGGACACCTGTAACCTCTGGCAGAAAGGAAAGAAAAAAAAAGTCTAAATCAGAAGATGGAGTGGGGCTGTGAAAGAAGTCCACCCAAAAGGACAAGTTTCATATCATACCAGTCAAAGAGAAACACCACAAATCAAGAAGTTCTTGCAAACAATTGAAAATTAAAAGCCCCTTATCCCTTTAGGAGTTGGCTTTAAGTTATTTGGTACAGGATTGGCATGGTGATCGTTGCCTCTTGGAGTAATCTGTTTGGACCACAACAATATTGAGAGAAGAGATGTTTAGAAATACTCACTCCTTTAGCATGTCCTCGTAACATGTTCTGAAAAGAAAACACAATGAGAAGTTCAATAACAAGAATACAATTACCGACTGGTAACACATTTGGACTGAACAAAGGGAAAAGGCACACAGCTATCCCCAAACCAGAAGTTAAAAAATATCCTGAGTCCAAGCGAGAAGAAAGCTTCCCATCAAAACCACCGGGTACTTGGGCAAAAATCCAGAGACAAAGCACATCTGATTCCATTCTAAGGTCTTCTAACCTAACACGAGGGAACAGAGTCAACACTAGCCAAGGACTGTGTGGTTCAAGTTTGCTGAAAAAATGGAGTGTGATGCATCACAAGGTAAGTTTAAGATGGACAGGAGTTGAAGGAAGATTCAGTCTGAGGAGACCTACGTCAAACACAGAGGCCATTCACTTAACGCACAGAGACAACGGGGAAAAACAACAGAGCCAACACAGTAACAAAAAGCTGCGTCTGTAACACAAGACAGAAGCAGAAAGGGAAAATGGAAGGGAAACGTGGTAATTATTCCTCCAAAGGCACCCAATGCTATATATCACATCGCTTCAAAAACCCGACAGAGCCAGCAGTTTTTGTAGCGCAACAGAGCGCTCCATTGTCTTGGGGGGGGCTGTCTTAAGGAAAGAATCCAAAACTTAACTGATGAGCTGTCACCAACCTCTTAAAACCATTGTGCAACTGCTTTCTGCACCAAGGAGGGCCTTCTCTACAGGATTCTTGAAATTTAATTAGTAACAGAAGGAAATTCAGCATGAGAAAATTTAGAATGAACAGTACACAGGTCCCTCCGCCACAATTTACTGCAGAAAGAAGACAGCCCTTCTAAAGAAAGTATTTCCTGATGAAACGGAGACTAACCCCTACCGTGTGGCTCCCTTAGAAACCAGCTGTAAGTAGCTGATACAGACTAACCAGGCCTGTAGTGCCGCTGAATAAACGCCACACACAAGGCAGCACCTATTCCCCTTTCTCAAGTATCTGCAATGCTCTACCTGTGAAGAAGGTGACCACACGGCAGAACATGAGCTCCAACGCGAGATGTGTGAATATCCTGTTTCGAAGCAAGTATCGGACAAAAGACAAGAAAATTAATTCAAACACAGTCAAAAAAACAGCCACACACACAAATCCAAGAGATGAAAAGCAGCAGCTCACCTCCAAACATATCGGACAGTCCTGCCTGGAGACATTTTCAATACACTTTACAAAGACAAAAAAAAAAGTTATCCTACTGCATGGATATCTGTATTTTTCTAAATTCTAAAATTGCCTTAGAATGGTAAAAAAGATGTATGAAACGTTACTGTTTGCATTTAGGTTTGAACTTCTGAGAATTAACAGCTGGCTTAGCATATTAAAAAACAAACAGCTTGAAAGCATACATAAGGAAAGGGCTCCCAGAACTCCCGCAGCCGCAAGCAGCCTAGCTTTTCCTATACTGCAGCAGGAACAGGAGCTCAAACTTACACGCTTGTCAGATCTGCAATCAACAGCTCCTTTTAAAAGAAAAGAAGGAGACCAAAATGTTTATTTCCTATAGCTTCAACTGCTAGCGAAGCCAGCTCAGGAGCGCTCTGTGTTGCTGTTAGGTGCACTCCGAGAAAGAGAACCTGTCACTCCCCTTGTCCGTACGGCCTTGGATGGAGCCGAGGCACTACCAGTTTTCATTTTCAATGTGTTTTTTTGTTTTTTGGGTTTTTTTAAGATACGGAGTTAACTGGCGTATTCTTACCTTGTGCTTTCCTCGAAGACTCAAGCTTAAGCATAAATTGCATTTTGAACAGTGGAAAAAATCCTCCTTTGGACCAATCCTGAGGAGAAAAGCATCAGGCCAAGGCCGGTTCCCTCCTTGCCGTACCGCCCCGCTCCGTTCCCCACCCGAGCGGGGCAGGGCCCGGGCCGAGGGGCCGGCCCGCCCGCCCCTCACGCACCTGCAGATGCCACACTCGGCGCAGTGGTACTGCTTCTTGTCGCGATCGAAGAGGTGGCAGATACCGCAGTAGTACTCGCCGAAGAGGCTCTGGCAGCCCTCGCAGCGCTGCCCGGCCCCCCCCCGCCCCCGGGCGGGCGCTCGGCGGGG